GGGGGGGGGGGGGGGCATCTTCAGCGATGAGCGCGGCTTGGGGCCGGGGAGACGGCCGCGGGCGCGGGCACCTTGGCATGATGGGCCGGCCCGACAGCGCCGGCCCGAGGAGAAGTGTGGCTGGAAAACTAGCGGAAATGTTCCGGCGCGGGTGTCGCCCCTCGGGCTCCGGGCCGGATGACTGCGTATTGGATGCCCGTTGGTGCCGAGCCCGTTTTTGGCTCCCCGCCCCCCTCGAGCACTCGGGCCCTTTTGCCCGGCCTCGGCCGGTGGCCGTGGGGCTGGGCTCGGCTTGGAGTGAGCGCGCGGGCAAGATCCGGCGGGGCTGTTTCATCATTCGGGAAGCCGGCGGTCTGCCGTCTGTGGCCCGGCCCACCGCCGGGGGGGGTCCGGCCGGCGGGTGGCTGGCCGGAGCCGCGGTGCGCGCCCCAGGCACCCAGGCTCCCCTGGAGCCAGGAGACTAGGTGTGTCTTGGGGCGTTGGCCCGGCCGGCCGTCGCGCAGCAGCGAGCACTTCGAACAGGTCAGGGAACATGGCCGGACCGCACTCTGGGCCCTCTCCCTCTCTGTGTGTATCTTCCCCTCTGTTCGGAGCGATGTCGGTTATTCCGCCCGGGGGAGAGACTGGCCGCCGGCCGGGCGGTGAGCGTTTTCCCGGCTACCGGTGCCCGAGAGGGAACCTTGGCCAGCCCGAGGGCCAAGGAGTCCTCGGCCACCCGGGTGGGTACGGGGGCGACCGGGGGGGGGGGGGGGGGGGGCTGGGGGGGGGGCATTTCAAATTCGGCCATCCCCTTCTCCACGGGAAAGACCGGCCCGGCTGGGCCTGCCTTCGGTGGTTGGACTACATGTCCCCCTGGTCCTTCCCCCTCTGCAAGGATGCGCGCTATTGTCACCCAGGGCCGGTCACTGGCGAGGATGGGCCGCGCCAACGGAGCATGTACCGGGGCATGGATCCTTCGGCCTCGCCCGCTTCGTGTGAAGCATGGGTCATGTGCTCACACATGACCACGGCACGCGACAGGGCACGAAGGCGGCGCAGGTCGAATCAATAGAATCACATGCCCTTCGCTCCGGTAAAGAGAGCCAGCTGACACAGAGCCATTTCCGCGCGCCCCAGACTGGTCGAAACCGGCGCCGGGGCATCGCCGGCCGGCCAGCCGGACGGGGCGGGGGGGGGGGGGGGGGGCGGATGTAGGGCAGCACTTCATCGTCGCCCTCGTGCGACGGGCTGCGATCCCCCCTCCCCCTCCGGAGAGACGCTTGCCTCGCGGCCCTTAAAGAGCCCCCCTCCTCCGGCCAGGGAGGGGATGCGTGTGCGCGCCCGTGCCACAACCCGCATGCCCCTCTGGGCGCTGTGGGCGCTCTGGGCGCCGAAGAAAGGGCGGTTGTGTGCCCCTTCCCCTGGGCGCTTGAGGCCTCTTCTCCAAAGCCGGGGGATCAAGCGAAGCGCGCCCCAAGGGCATGCGAGCGGGTTGGAGGCGGGCTGGGGGAAGGGCAAGAGCCGCCTGTGGATGGCGCGGCAGGAATGCCGGGCGGCCGCGACGTCGACATCGGGTTCTAGCCCGGGTCTCCGACGACAGGGGGCTGGCGTGGGGGGGGGGGGG